ACATGAAAAGTGATTTAAACAAGATGTATTATGCTCACAATGTTTTGAGGCTTTTATACATAATGGCTCTGAACGTTATATAACGATTGTGCCATTATGACAGCAACAGGACCACTTTTGATGACTTGATCAGGTAATTCCAGTAAGGTGCATGTAATAAACAAAGGAAAGACAAAAAAGCAGACTGGTGCAATATTGTTTGGAAACCATATAATGTAATGAATACAGGGAAACTGCTCACCTTTACTTGGAGCCTATATAATACTGGCTCCAAGTTTGCAGACACTGTGCCAAATGTGGAGTGGCACAACCCCTCTTTATCACAATTTTTCTTTATCACAATTCTCAGGTGGAGGCCAGAAAACACTTTTAAAAATGCAAACAAAGCTTTACTCTATATAAAAAAAACTGTATAAAAACATTACCAATATTGAGGATAAAATAGTGTTGTTCTTCCTTGAGATGCGTTTCAACCGTTTTTGGTTTTTTTCAATCGATTGAAAAAAACTTGAAAATGAGGGAAACGCACCAGGAGGCTGGGCCTCCTGCAGTTACGACCCCTGCCACCGTGGTAGGAATGCCACTGTACACATACATTGCCACACAAACACTGTGATACACTTACAAACACAGGTAAACATACACTCACACTAACACACATGCAGATACAGACTGACACAGATACACACACTGACACACAGATGCACAACCTGACACACATGCAGACACACAGGTACAAACACTGACACACATGCGGATACACAGATAAACACACTGATTGTATACAGATACACAGACAGAGATACAGACACTGACAACACACAGATACATACCATGATAATGCAGATACACAACCGATACACACATGAACATACACACAAGAACACATATGCAGATACACAGAGATTACATAGAAAAGATTACATAGAAAAACACAGATACATTGTATATCTGTGTATCTGTATTTAGTCAAACAGATATACATACTGACAACATATAGATACACACTGACAGACACACTGACAGACATACTGACACAGATACACACTGACACATACTAACACCCACTGACAGATATACTGATACACACACTGACACACATTCTGACATACTTATACACACACTCTGACAGACATACTGACACAGACAGACACACATACTAACAGACTGACACACACACACAGACATACTGACACACTGACATACTAACACACATCCATATACACTGATAGACATACTGACCCACACAGACATAATGACACACACAGATACACTGAGAGACATTAAAAACAATAATAAAAGGCTGCGCCAATAAGAGAGTAAAAATAGAGTGACTAAGAAAAAATGTCCAACGTAATAGATAAAAATAAAAAATAAAAGTTCAACTTAAGTGTCCTTGCGGATAGTCTTTATAGTAAGTGTTGCAGCAGTGAAGTCTTCATAAGCTGTATAGGTTCCACTCATATAAAAGACAAAAGGGGAGAGAGAGGGACGACCAGTAGTGCAGTATTGTATAATTTCAAAAGTGACGTATGGAAAGATAATATTAAACAACTCACATTTAATAGAGCTTATGTCCAGCTCTAGGATAGAAGCGCATACAGCGGTATAATCCCCGCTTATGGGATATGCTGTGGGTTTCTCTCCGTCAGTGGTGTCCAATTCTCAAACAAGAAAAAAGAGAGACAACCGATAGTGCTCACTCTTTAAGTAGTCTTAATATAAGTAGATGAAAACTTACTTACAAATGAGGAGCAGACCAACTGCTCTTGTGTATCAGCATAGGTGGATTGATCCCCACCTTTAGGATTTCTTGGAGTGCAGGAGACTTCCGAAGTCAGTGTTGGTATATAGTAGTAAAATGCTAAAAATATACTAAAATATACTAAAAAGCCAGGTATAAAAAGAGTAATGTGTATATAAAACTATAAAAAAGAGAATAGTTGGCACAAATAAATTACCAAAAATTGCTTTAATATTACAATACACAGTATAAAATATCCATAACGCGTTTCGTCAACAGACTTTATCAAATGGAATAGCAAACATCACCTGGCTAGTTGTATTATATAGGAGTTTAAATTTGGCGCCAAAAATGGTCCATCCAATCAAAATTAAGTTACATTTGGTAGTATAAAAACTTTAAAATACAGCAATAAAACCAAAGTATAGGGTCTAAGAACACTCATAATTGACTTTGATGACCAAAACGAAGGTTTTAAAAGCATAAATTAAATGATTAAAAATGCGCACGTGACGCGCGGCACTTCCACAAGGTGCTTAAAAACAAGATTGAGCGAACATTGCAGAAATATCAAAAATGGATACTTAAATCATACAGTATCCAAACATTTTATTATGCATAACAAAGATCCTAAACTTCTAAAATGTATTGGTATAAAAAAATGTTCTACCCCCTGGCGAGGAGGAGACATAAAAAAACTACTTGGGAAAATAGAAATGGAATGGGTGTATAACCTTAAGACCCTTATACCCCATGGCCTTAATGCAGACTTTGACCTATATAATTTTTTGTAACACAAAAGTATTTTACATGTCTGTTTTACACCAATGCCTTTTACCTTGCTCAAACTGTATTTTTTATTAATGATTTTCTGCATTTACAAAATTGTTTTATTATTTCTTAATTTATTTTATTTATATTTCATATACATGTGTCCCTTTAGTATATGGCCCCACCAATTATATGTCCCTTTTAATTTTGCCATCTCTTTTTTATATAGAGCTCCCTTTTTGGGAACTTTTGTTTTCATGTCCCTTTAATTTGATCGAGCTTATCTTCAGCCGACTACATTTCCCACTAAGCATAGCGGCATTTTGTCCGAATACCGGAAGTGCCGTAAGTCACGTGCTTTATTTCATTTGCTGAATTTATGATTTTAATACTTTCATTTCTACTAGCAGAGTGTCTAATGTATTTTAGTTTTTGCCCTCTTTGTGGGCTTTTGCTTCTATGTCCCCCAATATTTGGCAGCACCTATATTACACTCCTAGCCGCCATTCGCGGCTTACCAACTACATCTCCCATAAAGCATAGCGGCATATAGTCCGATAACCGGAAGTGCCGCGCGTCACGTGCGCATTTTCAATCATTTAATTTATGCTTTTAAAACCTTCGTTTTGGTCATCAAAGTCAATTATGAGTGTTCTTAGACCCTATACTTTGGTTTTATTGCTGTATTTTAAAGTTTTTATACTACCAAATGTAACTTAATTTTGATTGGATGGACCATTTTTGGCGCCAAATTTAAACTCCTATATAATACAACTAGCCAGGTAATGTTTGCTATTCCATTTGATAAAGTCTGCTGACGAAACGCGTTATGGATATTTTATACTGTGTATTGTAATATTAAAGCAATTTTTGGTAATTTATTTGTGCCAACTATTCTTTTTTATAGTTTTATATACACATTACTCTTTTTATACCTGGCTTTTTAGTATATTTTAGTATATTTTTAGCATTTTACTACTATATACCAACACTGACTTCGGAAGTCTCCTGCACTCCAAGAAATCCTAAAGGTGGGGATCAATCCACCTATGCTGATACACAAGAGCAGTTGGTCTGCTCCTCATTTGTAAGTACGTTTTCATCTACTTATATTAAGACTACTTAAATAGTGAGCACTATCGGTTGTCTCTCTTTTTCCTTGTTTGAGAATTGGACACCACTGACGGAGAAAAACCCACAGCATATCCCACAAGCGGGGATTATACCGCTGTATGCGCTTCTATCCTAGAGCTGGACATAAGCTCTATTAAATGTGAGTTGTTTAATATTATCTTTCCATACGTCACTTTTGGAATTATACAATACTGCACTACTGGTCGTCCTTCTCTCTCCCCTTTTGTCTTTTATATGAGTGGAACCTATACAGCTTATGAAGACTTCACTGCTGCAACACTTACTATAAAGACTATCCGCAAGGACACTTAAGTTGAACTTTTATTTTTTATTTTTATCTATTACGTTGGACATTTTTTCTTAGTCACTCTATTTTTACTCTCTTATTGGCGCAGCCTTTTATTATTGTTTTTAATGTCTCTCAGTGTATCTGTGTGTGTCATTATGTCTGTGTGGGTCAGTATGTCTATCAGTGTATATGGATGTGTGTTAGTATGTCAGTGTGTCAGTATGTCTGTGTGTGTGTGTCAGTCTGTTAGTATGTGTGTCTGTCTGTGTCAGTATGTCTGTCAGAGTGTGTGTATAAGTATGTCAGAATGTGTGTCAGTGTGTGTATCAGTATATCTGTCAGTGGGTGTTAGTATGTGTCAGTGTGTATCTGTGTCAGTATGTCTGTCAGTGTGTATCTATATGTTGTCAGTATGTATATCTGTTTGACTAAATACAGATACACAGATATACAATGTATCTGTGTTTTTCTATGTAATCTCTGTGTATCTGCATATGTGTTCTTGTGTGTATGTTCATGTGTGTATCGGTTGTGTATCTGCATTATCATGGTATGTATCTGTGTGTTGTCAGTGTCTGTATCTCTGTCTGTGTATCTGTATACAATCAGTGTGTTTATCTGTGTATCCGCATGTGTGTCAGTGTTTGTACCTGTGTGTCTGCATGTGTGTCAGGTTGTGCATCTGTGTGTCAGTGTGTGTATCTGTGTCAGTCTGTATCTGCATGTGTGTTAGTGTGAGTGTATGTTTACCTGTGTTTGTAAGTGTATCACAGTGTTTGTGTGGCAATGTATGTGTACAGTTAAGTTGAACTTTTATTTTTTATTTTTATCTATTACGTTGGACATTTTTTCTTAGTCACTCTATTTTTACTCTCTTATTGGCGCAGCCTTTTATTATTGTTTTTACTGTCTTGTTTTAAAAGGGCTTGGAGGGTTTCCCTTTTTAAGGTTGCTGCCTGTTTATTAATTAGCGCTGTCTCTCCTTTCCATATACTCCTTAACACTGAGAGACATGCTGACACACAGACACACTGACAGATATAGTGACACACACACAGTCATACTTAGGGATCGACCGATATTGATTTTTTAGAGCCGATACCGATACCGATAATCTGCGAACTTTCAGGCCGATAGCCGATATCTTGCCGATATTCTGTACATTTACTATTTTGAATAAATAAACTAATTCGAAAGGTAAATGCACAAAATATACATGCCACATGTAGTGGATGAAGTGTGTTTAGACAGGGGAACTGTGTGTGTTTGTGTGTGTGTGTGTGTGTAGTGGATGCAGAGTGTGTGTATATAATGCAGTGTTTATGTAGTGTGTGTGTATAATGCAGTGTGTTTTTGTGTGTGTATGTAATGCAGTGTGTGTGTGTTTGTGTAGTGTGTATGTATGTAATGCAGTGTGTGTTTGTGTAGTGTGTGTTTGTGTAGTGTGTATGTAATGCAGTGTGTGTGTCTGTGTAGTGTGTATGTAATGCAGTATGTGTACTGTGTTTGTGTAGTGTGTATGTAATGCAGTGTGTGTATGTAATGCAGTGTGTGTGCAGTGTAGTGTGTGCAGTGTGTCTGTAATGCAGTATGTGTGTAGTGTGTGTTTGTGTAGTGTTTGTGTAGTGTGTATGTAGTGTGTGTGCCTGTGTAGTGTGTGTGTATGTAATGCAGTATGTGTACTGTGTTTGTGTAGTGTGTATGTAATGCAGTGTGTATGTAATGCAGTGTGTGTCTGTAATGCAGTATGTGTGTAGTGTGTGTTTGTGGTGTGTGTGTAGTGTCTGTCTGTGTAGTGTGTGTATGTGTGTATGTAATGCAGTGTGTGTGTATGTAATGCAGTATGTGTTTGTGTAGTGTGTGTGTGTGTGTAGTGATGTAATTTGTGTAATTTTTTATTTTAATATTTTTTTTAATATTTAAATGTTTTTTTTGTTTAGTCCCCCCCAGTGTGTGTTTGTGTAGTGTGTGTTTGTGTAGTGTGTATGTAATGCAGTATGTGTTTGTGTGTGTGTGTGTGTTTGTGTAGTGATGTAATTTGTGTAATTTATTTTAATATTTTTTTTAATATTTAAAAATGTTTTTATTTTTTGTTTAGTCCCCCCTCCCTGCTTCTTACCAGGGAGGGGGATATAGTATTCCCTGGTGGTCCAGTGGCTTGTTAAGTACAGTGGTGGCTCAGCAGCAGCAAGCGCTGACTTACCTTGCAAGCAGCTCCTACAGCTCCCTGTGTAAATCTCGCGGCTCTTAGTGCCGCGCGGAGCGTTGCCATGGTAACCCGTGGCAACGCTCTGCGGCCGCGGGTCTCGCGAGATTTACACAGAGAGCTGTAGGAGCTGCATGCAAGGTAAGTCAGCGCTTGCTGCTGGCCCCCACAGGACCGCCGGGCTTGTAATGGGCCCGGCGGTCCTGCTATATATTATCGGCAATATCGGTATCTGAATTGGCCGATACCGATATTGCCGAAAATACCAAATATCGGCCGATAATATCGGCCAGACCGATAATCGGTCGATCCCTAGTCATACTGACACATACAGATACACGCTGACAGACACACTTGCGGAGTATGGATTGATTTTCTTGTATTATTTAATTAAAATATAGCTGCTCGGTCAGATATACATTTTAGTTATATGACACAAACATTACAACTGCATGAGAATATATATTTAGATTACAGTCGTAAGATTTTAAAGGTTGCCACACACACAGGCCCAAACTAGCATAAAGCCACATGTGCGTGTCAATCACAATGCAAACAAGATATACATCTTTAATCTTGAACCTAACTATAGACAAAACCAACTAGAAAATATGCTGAACACAGATTTTCAATACATTACATCAGGGCAAGATGCAGGACATTTGTGAGAAAATATGGTATTATTTTGGGACGAGAAAAGGGTATAAAACTGACAGAGGAACAGCTGAACAGTGTCATTTCTCCACTCATTCCACCCATACACCCGAGAGGTACATAGGGACACATTCTGTAGCTATTATTTTTATTTGGTAAGATTGAACATTTTTCATTCTGTAACATTCATTCAATACACTTATATCTTAATTTTATTTTGTATATTGTCTCATTTATTTTACAATATTCACGCAGTGTCCTTTGGGTCTTCAGGCACTGAATTATTTTAGTAATAGTCAAGTTATTATCTAGAATAATTTATAAAACGGTTTCTGGAATTACTTGTAACGGAAAAGGCTAACTCCTTATATAGCTATAGATATTATATATCATATATCCCACGATAAGCTAAGGAATGACCGGAGGAAGACTTTTTTTGTTGGTAAAAGTCATATCATACCTAGAGAGCCATAGTGATCAATATTGAAGGGTCAACGGAAACCGACAATACTGACACACACAGACAGAAATACTGACACACACACAGACACACTGACAGACATACTGACACATACACAGACATACTGACACACATGCAAACGTTATACTTTTAAAGCCACCCTCCAATGTCCTACCTTTTGGGGACAGGAGGATGGCTTTCCTGGGGTCCTGTGGCAGGCTGAGTTAGTTGAGATTTTAGAGGAAGTGACTCATGGCTCTCTCTACTTCCCTGCCGGTTGCGGTTGAGCAAGGGTTATGTTGTTAAAGGGCTACAACCCAGCCCCTGCTGAGAAATATCCACTGGGTGGCCCTAAGTGCATGGTTCAACTGATGGGCCTCCTAAGTGTGTGGGTCCTCGGTGCACCCACAACATGGATGGGCCCATGGGGCAGATAAATTATTATTTTTTGCATACAGCAAGGCCCACGGGGCAGCTGCTTTGGGCCCTCCAGGAGTAACTGGGCTCGGGGCAAATAGGACAGGTGCGTTTAATACGGCCCTGCTGGAGACACTGCTGGGGATACTTTTCTGATTTAGACTAGTTTAAGTCTCTAAAGCGTCTCCCTTTCACATCTCCAACAACAGTTAGATGCTAATGGTTGAAATTTACATGATCTGGAGGGAGCCAAGATTCCTTTAAACTTATACAGTGTATTGTTTTCCTTGTTAGGTCGAAAGAGTTACGCCAAGAGTGTAGTGGAAATGTTTCAACCTAAATCATGTTCCCATTTTACAACTGAGTTTGATTTTGTGTCATAACTAGAGTTGAACGGACACCTGAAATGTTCGGGTCCGGCGGGTTTGGCCGAACTTTGAAAAAAAAGTCTGGGTTCGGGCTCGAACTTGACCCCGAACGTGAACCCCATTGAAGTCAATGGGGACCCGAACTCTTGGGCACAAAAATGCCTCTTAAAAAACTCCTGGAAAAGGCTAGAGAGCTGCAAAAGGAAGTAAAATGGGGGTAGGAGTAGGACAAGTGCCCTGCAAACAAATGTGGATAGGGAAATCACTTAAATTAATATAAAATAACTAAAAATTAAAAATACAGCTGAGCCATAAAATAGCACTAGATGGAATCTTTGATTTTAGCTTTGGAAGAACATACATCAAAATCTAAAGCATGGCTGTCAGGAGGATCACCAGAATTATCCATGTGAGAGAGGGTTGGAGTGCAGGGTATTCTCTTTCATTGTTCAAACTGAGCTCAACTCATGATGCATGGAGAAAAGGCCTTCACAAGCCTCTGCTATTGTGTACATAGTTTATACTAAGTGACCCACAGTCTCATGAGGTGGTGAGCGGGAAGGCGGAAGTTACGCTGCAGCGCAAACAGGTGAGCAGCAGAGGGGTGAGAACGCCAAAAGCGAGCACAGCCGCTACAGTGAATGTCACATCCTGTTCCAAGTTGCGGATCAGTCTGGTGATGGCTTCTGGTATCCAGTACTCTTTTTACTGAAGCTGCATCAGGGTCCTGGTATGTGGCCTCACAAACGCTAGTGCTCAAGACCAGGGTGCGTGCGGTTACCCTGCACCAGACCCTGCTTATCCATTCCACACTGACTGTCACGTATTCATCCGCTTATAAAAATGTGGGAAAAGTTGTGCCGAGCAGCAACCTAATCCACAGAAGGGTTAATGTTGAGCAGCAATTATGCAAATGAAACCTGGTCCCTGACTTTGGGGTCAAAGGCCAGTTACATCTAAAGGAAGGGTATTTAGGCCCAGTTCTCATCCTGCTCAGTGCCCTGTCGTGGTTTCCCTTGTTGTTGTCCGAGAGCGCGTTCCTGTTAATAGTTTTCTACCTGGTTTTTTACTTTGGTTTTGTTTATTGACTTCTCTATATTCTGGTATTCTGAATCCTGGCTTTCCTCATCGCTGCGTCCCTTTCTGTGTTCCCTGACCTCGGCTAGTATTTTTGACTATTCTATGTATGTTAAATCCGGCCATTCTAAGGACCGGTAATACGTTACTTATTTGTCATCCGTGCTATACAGTTCTACGTGCTGGATCAAACAGTAATCCTGACATTACAACATGGCCATAGACCCTGTCAGCACATAGCTGCTTGCGAGAGGAAATTAGAGGAGAATGATCACCGCATGGATCAATTCGCTCAGGCTTTCAGTACGCTTCTCGCTAGAACGGCGCATCTGCAGCCTGCAGCGACTCCTCCTATAGCACCTCTACCCTGTGTACCTCCACCCACTGTTAATAGGACTCCTAGCATCTCCTTATCGCCATCCCTACAGTTTGATGGCAATATCCAGGAATGCAGGGGTTTTCTTAATCGGGTGGAGTACCATTTTGAGGCCTTACCAGGGTCATTCCCCACGGACAGAGTAAAAATTGGTTATCTAATGAATCCATTAAAGGGCAAGGCCATTGCCTGGGCTAATCTGTTGTGGGAGAGTAATCGGAGCATTGCTCATAATTACCAGGAATTCCTTGCCGAATTCAAGCTCACGTTTGAGCCATTGGGTAGGGAGGATGACGCCTCCACTGCCCTAATGCACATCAGACAAGGTAACCGGTCTATCTCGGATTATGCTATTGAATTCCGTACCTTAGCTTCCGAGGTAGACTGGACTAACAATGGGTTAATATCAGCATTCAAAAAGGGTCTCTCAGAGAATTACCTAAGAGTCTTAACGAATTTATTACGTTTGTCATGCATATTGATAATAGGTTAAGACTCAGAGAAGTCACCAGAAGCAAGACCAGACGTACGGCTATGTCCCTACCACCTCGATTCTTTAAACCTGTTTTGTCTAACCTCCCTGTACAGTCCGAACCCGAACCTATGCAGGCCGAAAAACAGTATAGTAGAAGGGAGGGGTTATGCCTACATTGCGGTAGAAAAGGACATATGATAACTAATTGCCCAGTGCGTCCGGAAAACATCCGCACCTAAGAACCTTAAGGGGACAGGTCTTAGGTGTGATGGAGTTGTCCTCTAACAAAAACAAAAGTAGATTCCTCCTTCAGGTATCTATTTCCCTTGATAACAAGAAGTTTTCTTGCAGTGCTTTAATGGACTCAGGTGCTGCTGGAAATTTTATTGATGTCCAGTTTATTAGGGGTAATGAGATACCGGTCAGGGAGAGACCTACGCCGCTAGCTGTAGAGGCTATTGATGGTAGACCACTCACACAACCACTTAT